GATTGGTCTAATAAAAAACTAAATGACCAATAGCTAGGCAGGAGGTATAGGCGAAACTTCCAAGCAGAGAGTGTAAGTAGAAGAGGGATCTAGGCTCAACAGAGACAAAGGAGACAGAAGGAAAAAAGAAAAATAAAAAGAGATGCCAGAGGCCAGCTAGTCAGACAGGAAGCACAAAAGTGGGACATGCAGAATAAAAGAAAGGTTAAAAAGCCTTAAAGTAAAACACAGATAAATAGAAACAGGTTAAATTAAGTTAGAAAAGCTAGTGGGGCAACTCTAAGCTAAGGCCAAGCATTCAGAATAAGTCCCCATGTCTTTATTTGGGAGCTGGTTGGCAGTCAAAGAAAATGCCAACTACAGTCAAATCCCATAAGTCTGTTTCTAGGAAGTTCCCGAACTAGTAAAGGTGGTCAGAAGTCACCCTGAGGTCATTTATGGGGTGTTTCAACAAAGGCACCTGTCAGAGTCAGCTTAGTTGTCAACTTGACAGAATCCAGTCACTTGGGAGCAGAGAACCTCAAATGAATTGTGCAGAACAGATTGGTCTGTAGCCTTAGCTATGGGGCTTATCTATTAGCCTTATCTATTAGTTGTTAACTGAGGTAAGAGGTCCCAGGCCATCATGGTCAGTGAATGCCACCCCTAGACAGGTGGGTTTGGGTTGTATAAGAAACTAAGCTGAGAACAGGACAGGAAAAAGCACTCCTCTGCCTCATTTTCACCCGGGAGTTTTCTTTTAAATACTTCAATTTTATTTTATGTACATTGGTGCGAGGGTTTCAGATTCCCTGGAACTGAAATTACAGACAGGTGTGAGTTGCCATGTGGGTGCTGGGCATTGAGGCTGGGTCCTCTGGAAGAGCAACCAGTGCTCTTACCCAGTGATCTCCCTCTCCAGTTGCAACCTTATCACTTCTTAAAGAGCCTCCTCCTGACACTGACAGGTCACTTAGGACTGACAGGTGACTTAGGAAGGACACTCACATTCAGGGGCAGAGTGGGTTGGGGCAGGCCTAGAGAGGCTGGCAGAGGAGTCGATTACGGAAGAGAGGACACAGCAGGTCCGTCTAGTCACTTTGTGGCTGCCCGCTGAGGGCATGTAACCTTTGCAGACATTCGTCAACTATAACATGATACCATCGACTGGGTGCCCTCAGCAGCGGAAATGTATTTTCTCCCAGCTCTGGAGGTTGCTGTCTAAAATCAGGTCCAAAGTGGAGATTTGGGCGAACATAATTCTGCGGAGAGGGCTTTCTTCTTGGTTTGGAAGTAGTCCACATCTCTCACCTGGGGAACTGAGCAAGCTTTTCTGTCTCTTCCTGTAAAGCCGCTATCCATATCATTAACTGTAAGCCTTCCCAAAGGCCCCACCTCGAGATCCAGGCTTCAGGATAAGGGACACATCTGTCCCCCACCCACCAATGCATGTTCTGGATGTCAGAAGGAACCCAGAGAAAACACATACTGCACAGTTTCTTGGAAGGAGCCATGGGAGAGTTGTAGCAGCGAGTGAGGGTCGAGGAAGAGGAGGCACCTGTGTAGATTCCTCTAGCGTTGACCATGAAATGGCTGGAGCTCAGGGGCGTATGGAGGCTGCTCTTTGTGTGGAGGAGAGGGAGGTTCCAGTGGATCTTGCCGGTGCATCTCTGGTTTAGCGCCAGCTGGCTCTTCATCGTCATGACCCGTTGAAGCAGGGTGTTTATCGGTGCCATTCACGTTCTGTGCCACTGTGGGGAATGACTACCCAGTAGGGACATAGGGAACAGCGAACATTCTCTGTGAATGCAGAAAGGCAGAAGTCCATGGAGAGAGGACGCAGGGGCTTGTGCTTCTGCTAGGAGCAGTGATGAACCTGCACAGGAGTAGAAGAGGAGCAGAGAGCTCTGTGGCTGAGAGGTACGGGTGTCAGGAAGGAGGCAGGAAGAGGAGATCTGGCTCTAACTGAGGGCCAGAGTGTTGTCCAGGACGATTCTCCATGCCAAGCTCACCATCAGGGGTCTAGTGGGGCCTGTTTCCAAAACATCATCCCACCTTGGTCTTTTTTTATTTATTTACTTATTATGTATACAATATTCTGTCTACATGTATGCCTGCAGGTCAGAAGAGGGCACCAGACCTCATTACAGATGGTTGTGAGCCACCATGTGGTTGCTGGGAATTGAACTCAGGACCTTTGGAAGAGCAAGCAACACTTTTAACCGCTGAGCCATCTCTCCAGTCCCCCACCTGGGCTTCTTGACTGCTGATATTTCCTCCTAGGAGGACTGGGAGGGCTATAGCACCCTCATCTGCATATCCAGCTGCCACTGCTCCCAATTGGCTGTATGCAATTCTGCTCTAGTTACATATGGCCTTAAGGGATGGAGGTTCTCAATGAGGGGCTAGAGTGTACAAGTGGGAAGCTGTGATATTTTGTTTTTGCTTTAACAAATAAAGTTTGCCTGAAAATCAGAGAAGCAGAGCATCCACTGGTCCTTACCTCTGCGAAATCTTCAGACCTAATTGGGTATCCTGTCTCTAGAAGTCTCAGACTGAATCCTGACCTCCTGGCTCCTCCTGCCTTGTATTCCCCTCTCTGCCCAGTCATTTCACTTCCTGTCTTCACCTCCCTAGTGCTGGGATTAAAGGTGTGAGCCACCACCGCTTGGACTAAAGGATGCATCTCCATCATCTCTGCTGGGTGCAGACCTCCCAGCACGGCTGCTTTAAGGTGACATCACCCACACCCCTCATTCACTGTTCTATAGCTAAGCCTAACATATCTGATGGTTCCCAGGTTGAACTTAGGTGGGCTCCAACATTTTATCACTGGGGCTTTGGGAGGGGGGATGTGGATGGAGATGTTGCCTAGTCCTCTCCGCCTGCCTCCCCCAGGTAAAAATTCTCACAACACTGAGGCAGTGCAGGTGAGCCCTGAGGAAAACAGGATGTTGAAAACGCAGAGGGACTAATGCCGGCTTGGAGCCCATAGGAGCTGGGATCTTCAGCATGGCTCAGCTATGACTATGGCATTAGGTCATGGCAGGCTGTTTTCTGTGTGGTCCAGGGCACCCAAGCAGATAAAGCTAGACAGAGAGGCAAGAGGGACAGACAAGAGGGGAGAGAGGATCTCTTTAAGACTAGGGGATAGGGATGGGACACTGCTGGGGGGGGTGCTCATCATAATGGTAAGACGAGGTCAGGCTGCAGAGTGGGGTGCTAGGTAAGGATACGGAGTGGACATCTAAGTAGAGCAGGTGTTGGAGAGGGGAGGGCATGCCAGGTCAGAAAGAGATCACGTGTTTGCTAGTCACTTTCCTGTGGTGAGTGAGCTTGTCCGACCGTTTTGGCCCTGAATCTGCATGCAGGCCAGGAGGAAGGCAGTGGTGGCCTGCTCCATAGAGGAGGAGTTCAGGCTAGTCACTCAGCAAGCAGCGCAGGCCAAGCCCAGGTCTCTGGTAGTCTAGCTGTTTCTCCACTACCCCGCAGCACTCGGGGCTCCGGCTCCACCTCACAGATCCTCAGCAGGCCTTTCTGTGGAAAAGACTTCTGTCTCTGGATGCCTTCATTGTCCAGCAGGAAATTAGAGTCCCTCCGACCCACCCTCTCCCTTTCAGCACTTTCTGGACTGCACCGGGGAGAAGGGTGCCTGGAGTCCCTCAGGTCACCGGAAACAACGCTATGGAAAGGGGAACAGCCTCACATCCGCTTGCCTCAACTTGCGCCCAACACCTCAGACTCCAGGCCCCTCTCTCTACTTATCCTGGTGCCCAGCCTCTCCCAAGAAAGGCTAAGCTGCTGTACCTGTCACAGGAGGGTTCACTGAGAACCCAGGTAGACTAGGGATCAACACTGCTGCCCGCCCACTCCCCCTCCCGCGCATCCCTCAGGCACAGAGTAGTCCAGATTTCTCAGGGTAGGTGTCAGCTGGAGGTTGGAGGAGGTGGCAACTTGGTAAAAGAGACACCCACCCACACCCTCAGGGCCCTGCATATGCCTGGCTCACGTAGGTTGCTGGAAATACCTGCAGGACTAAGGAAGAGAAGAAGGAAGTAGAGAAGGGGGAGGGGAACAGAAAAAAGAAGGAAAGAAGTACAGAAAAGCAAGGGAAAGGAGGAGAAAGGGGAAGGAAGGAGGGAAGGAAAAAGAGGAAAGGGAGAAGGAAGGAGTACTGGAAGGAAGGGAGGTGAGAGAGGGAAGGGAGAAGGGAAGGAAAGGAGAGAGGTCAGAAGCCCTGCTTAGCAAGGGCGAAGCTCAGTCAACCTTCCTCTGAGTGCTCCCATGCAGGTGTCACATCTCACCTGTGAGTAGAAAGGTGGGCAGGACCAGTGGCAACTCACCCCCAGCCAAATTATCCAGCCCTGCCTTGTGTGGGTGCTGACCTTCCGCTCCCCAAAGGCCGGACAGCGCGTCCCCCCAACCCGCCCTGCAATTGTCAGACCAACGTACATCTTCTTAATAAAGGGACGCGACATCCTCTCGCTCCCGATCCCCCTAAGTCTCTCCTCCCGTCTCCACGTCCCTAATTGGAACACCTGGCCACCAAGGTGGCCTCCACTCAAGATAGGTGCTCTTCCCGGGTGGCGTCCCAGGCTTCAGCGGTCACCTCTGA